TAAAATATATAAACAAAGTATAAATTAATGATTAATAATTCAATTATATTTACAATGTAACTAAAAATTCTGATGCATTTTGTCCACTTTAGTTTCATTTCGAGGTGGCGCATCTACCATGTTGCGTCACGTTCATGAAATGAAGCGCACTCGAAGTGCACTCTAGTGTTACTTTAAGGAAACTTTAACTAGAGCTGTATCAACTGAGTTGCGTCAAGTAGAGCTCTAATATTATTTATTTATCAACAAATATTATAAGAAAGTAGACAATAAAAAATCATATAATATATTTAACAACAATTTTGTTTAATAAATATACGTAGTAATAAATAAATGTACATTTATTACCTTGTGATAAAATATAAATTTTTATATTTTATTATAATATACCATCACACACACACATATACTATTTATTATAAAATTAATTTATAGTTAAGAAATTATTGTAATTATTTATTATAATTATATTGTAAGAAGAATAACGATCATGAAATAAGACGTATCATTTGGATAATTAATGTAGTAATTAATTTCACGCCTATTCATTTTAGCATATTCATTGAAGAAAGAAAAAATAGAGAAAAGAAGTGGATTTAAAAAGAGAGCATCGACCTCGTTTCGTCAATAAGCTAGGAACCATAATGCTATATTTCGGTGTTAATTAATTCTACGCGGTAACTCCTACTTGTATAACTCTCTCATAGCATATTTGATCACCTAATATCGGTGGCGAATGCTATACCCTTCAAATTTGAGTTGTAAATGAGGTATCTTCCTGAGGTACGTCGTCCATGATCCAAATGGTTTCTACTGCTTTAAATTTTGTTTACCCGATGCTACGTGAGAAAGCTTCGTCTTGTACTCGTGCGAAAACTGTGGTAACAATCTACTGTAAGTAGTAACAGTCAATATTATAGTCCGATACAACTGTAATTCGCGATAATCGTCAAGTGACTACTACTTTTCTAATTTTGTGTTACAAAACCCACGCCAACTTCGATTCGCAATCAGAGCGCGGGAAACAGCTTGAGATAATTAACGTTTTAAATGTTCATATGAATATATCTGGAATTCGTCCAATGTGTTTATGAAGCGAACGTTTTGCTTGGCTGATTACCAACTCGTTTTTGTACCGGACGACCTCCTCTTATTCTTCTTTTTCTTTTTTTTTTTGTATTCTTTCCTTTTTCTGTTCTCGAGTAGATCGCTAGAAGAACGCGGACGACGTTATTAAAGATTTTTCGTATCTGCTTTGCGACAAAGTTGTCAAAATTTTTCAAAGTGTTCTCCTTACCATTCGTTTTATCTCTTGTTATTTTCTTCCTTTCGATTACGCAGAGTTCTTTTAACAGATTTACAAACTGTAAAGTTCAAAGAGCCGTACTGAAGGAGCACTTCGAACAACGCTTATGCAGATGCGTTTGTAACGATATTAAGTTACAATACAGAAACATTTTTCCCTTGAAAGAAAACAGTTTAACAAGCACGTCCTGTCGCGAATAATCGATGTTTTTTTTTACGTTAGATTAAGCTTCAGATCTTTGTTCAAGGAAACTGAGATTTTCCTTGAATTTCTTTCTACGGGAATCGATCATTGTGGGATTAAGCTGATCCGAACATATAACTCGTATAATTTGGAAGAGCACCGAAATCCTATAGGAACGATAACTATCTAGATATGATCGTAATAAAAGCAACTCTATTTATATTCATATCACGTATCTATCTATAGTATTAGCAACCTCAGTGATCTCTTCAATGCATTCGATGAAATAGAATCGGATCGAAGATCTCTCACTTGGTGATAGATATCAACGGAGACATTCGTTGGGCGTTTAACACCACAAAGAGAGATAAAGAGAGAACTCAGCTTTGATTTAATACAAAGACGGGTTCATCAATCGGGGCTACCGCATCGAAATGCAAATTTTCGTTCGAGTGACTTCGACTGAACGGGATATCCTTTGATCGCTAATGAAACATCCTAATGCATAGCCACGTTACATGTGGAGAGCGAAACTCTACCTATTGATGGAGCAGAGGGGAAAGGGAGAGAGAAAGATAGAGAGAGATGATGGAGGGAGTTGAAGCAGAGGCCCGGAAAATCAATTGGGTCAATTGTTTGAACTGTTAGTAAAACAAATATTTGAGATAACCAACCATCAAGCGAGCCCCCGTACGTTGTAGGGAACAACACTTCATTCTTCAAGGGATAAACTCCGAATGATCTGTCGTTACTTTTCTTTCTTCGTGACGGTAATATAGTCTGCACGGAGTTAGTTTGCTTCTTTATTTATCCCTTAACGAGCACAGTGAGTATTCATTAACCTCGTTATGTCATCACGAAGTATTACTGCATTTCTCTATCATACGTTTTTCACTAATAATCGAAGAAATTTATCTACCGTATGATTTCCTATATGTGCACCACATCTAATGATGAGGATAGAAAATAATTTCCAGGGTAAAGTTTTGCGAAGTATTAAGTTAAGGAAGGTATCTACCCTACCTTCTATTTGTATGACATACTTTATCGCTACATAAGACGCGTTAAAGTTCATTAAGGAGAGAATGTTAGGAAGAGAAAGTTGGGAAGAAGTTTTTACATCAAAATTGTCACGACAAATACTTGACTTAAATTAACTCTCTTTCTTATGTAATATCATATGATTCGCGTTATTGTTAAAAGTAATTATCAAATGTACTAAAGTAATATATCCAAATAAACAGTTATCGTAAACCGACAACCATGTTGTCGATTAACATAGTACAATTTATTGACCCTATTCCTACATTTTCGTATGATAGTAGCACGGAATTGGGAAGCGTTGATTGCTATCTCTATCGACGCCGACTATCCTGCTGACGTTGGTCTGTTTTTCCCAGGAAACGTAGTTCGTGTTCTTCAGCAAGAAGGGGCAAACGACTGAACATAGCGATTCCTAGGAACAAAAGCGAGAACTTTTGATAGATCAGTAGACCACAAGCTGGTAGGACTAATTTAGCTAGCCAATTAACATTTGAATTATTATCTTTGGGCTCGATCTTATATGGTCAGGTATAATTTATCTAGAGAACGTAAACTCTCTCAAGCTCTCTTTAGATACAACGGACTTGTTCTAGAAATAGCACTGTTTCTCCAAGTGGTTTGGCCACAGTAAGGGAAGATTGATCTAATGGCGAAAACCAATGGTTGAGGCATCTGCAAGTGTAATCGTTTCTAGCCCTACTGAAATAGCTACTTTATTCCACTTCTCTTTCCACCGAAGTGCTCATATAGAAGGAGATCTATTACTTTTGTTTTCCGACATATTTCGACTCCCCCTTGTTCTTTTCTTTCTCAACCCTCAGTTTTATTTCTTAACTTACATATACATATATATCCGTTTACATGCTTCCATAATCATGTTCTTCGTCACGGTGGATGCACGAGGCCTCGCAAAAGTTTGGCGATGCGCATTTCTGGCAGCGATTACATATCGACAGTTCCTATAAATTATGGAAACTCCGGAATGAACAATCTCGTCGACGATACATCGCTTCTCTCCTTAGTAGGACGTGGCTCAGGGCATTAATCATACTGGGGAAATGCATATGCGTTAAATTAATTACGCGAAGAAACTTGGAAATGTTTCTATAGGATTTATGTTTTACTGTTGTCGATTCCTCGATGCTCTCAACTTTTATGTCCGGTATCGAAGGAATAACGACCGAGATTATTTCGGTTAGTGTGATCTAATGTATCATGTAAGTAAAATCGTAAAGTCCTCTTTTTTTGTTGTTGGTGAGTTATAATAATACAAGATAATAAAACTTTTCAAACGTATATGTGACGTTTTTCAGATAATCTTTGGGAAATGGCAGGCTCGGGGCCAGAGCTTCTCGTTCACGATAAAAGGTCCGCCCGTAAAAAAATTATCTTGATTTCCCAGTTGGAACAGAAACATTTGCCATAACAGATCCACAAGAAACGTAATAATTCCAAAATTAGTACGTTTGCTTTCAGAGATCAGTTTGAACATATGGTCTTGCATAATTAATGTTACCGAACTCCCTCTTTTTCCGTATTTTTGTCCCTCAATGATATTATCCTGCGATTATTGGAAACACGTGCGACGCAATTATCTCTTCATTAACGCACCATCCTGTTTGAATTGATTATCCATACGTCGCAGTGATGTTACATAAATAAAATCATTTTTCCATTCTCAAATCTATAAATTATTTACGGTAATTATATAAAGGAAATAAGGGACCGAACAATCGGGTAAAAAGATTACGTGAGTCCTTTCATCAACGTGTATCACGTGCGTCGCGTGTTTCGCGCCTACGCATCCGGTGTGCGTGTTTAACTGTCGTACAACGTGAGGGAAAATATGGGGACAAAGAAAGATAAAGAGATAGAAAAAGAGAGAGAGAGAGAGAGAGAGAGAGAGAGAGCATTGTGGTTGTCTGAGAATGGTAGTAATCTACCTGTTCAATGAATGTAACCATTCTCGAGTTGCTTTCTTTCGGCTGCTGTAGTCTGACCATAAACGATATTAACTACTGACATTAAAACATATCATAGTATTAACTACTTCAAGTAGAATAACGGTAGATTTCTTAAAAGAATGGTCGAAAAGTGAAAGTTTCGAACGAAGGTAGAACGAGACAACACAACTCGAATAAAAATTCGAAGATAACCTTCTCAGGAGAATTGAAGGGTCTCTAGTACTAACGTACGAAAATACGATGTAGCATCAATGTTCCAGAGAAAAGGTGGATTTTGTACGATTATACGAAGAAGGGCTAGTTGGTCGAGAAAGAGCAAGAAATATTAGTAAAGGGTCTTCATCCCCTTGTTAAACGAGAGACGGAAAGAGAAAGGGAGGAATGAGGGGAAAGGGGGAAAAGTAGAAATAGTCGAAAGATCTTGCGGCAGGTGCTGCCACCTGCTTTGAGGGCGTGGCGCTAGTTCCAGCGGAGCTTAGTTCAACGAAAGCTCCTGCATGCGACGCACCACTGGAGCAGCAGCAGCGGTCGCTTTGAGGTCGAGCGAGAGAGCCCCTAAGGGAGAGGGTGGCGCGCGCGAGAGGGTTGAAAAGAGAGAGAGGGAAAGAGAGAGAGAAAGAGAGAGAGAGAGAGAGAAAGAGAGAGAGATAGTAGTAGCGTGCGCGCGTGTAGTAGAGAGGTACTATCCTCGAAAGGATAGAAGGACGGATAACGAGGAGAAGGAAAGAGCGAGAGAGAGAGAGAGAGAGAGAGAGGGATAGAGATAGAGAGAGAAGAAAGACAGTGGTTGAGAAAGAGGTGAAGAGCGTGTGTGCGCGCGCGCGCGCGTTCGCGCGTAGAGACGCGTGCGTCCTCGTGTGTGCTTGCGACGTATCTCGGATAGCAGGATAGAACAGAGATGAATGGACGGTTGGTCTGCCGTGCCTTATCGCGACGATGATATCGAGAAGAGGCCGAATACGAGACTCTATCGAGGAGCCGTCTTTGGAAGCATCGGGAGGACGATATGGCTTTGGGCCTGTGCTCCCTTCATCCTCATTTTCCAGGACGAAATCGACTGAGGATACTTCTTCGTTCGAGACGGTGGTGATTATCGGAGAGGAAGAGCACTGTAGCCGGCAGTGACCATGGCGCCTCTCGTCGCGTGCGTGTAAACAGTGCTCAGAGACCACGTTCGAATAGTGTCCTCCTTTGCTGCTACTCCTCCCTTCCTTCTCTCACTCGCATACTCCGATATCACCCCCTACTTCTCAAACAGTGTTCGGTCATTTATGTGTTGTGCGAAGCATCGGTGTTACTGCAGGGAGAGAAAGAAAGAAATAGAGAGAGAGAGAGAGAGAGAGAATGAGAGAGAAAAAAAGGCCTGGAAGTGTCTTAAGTAAAATCTAATTTATTCATTTTTTTATTTACTAATTCATTTTAACTTTGAGGATATGAGATCGTGTGAGAGAGATCACGTATTAGGGTGGAAATTCGTTAGATCTCTTTTGTTCTTTCCTTTCCTCCACAGGTATCTATCTTTCTCCCTCATTGTTTCTATCTCTCTCATGGGAGCTAAGTGATGCTTATACGTGATGCTTTCTTGCTGACTTAACAACTGGAGAGGCAAGAATGGTTGTTGAGTCTTCTTCGGGGTTCTCACACGAACGATTTAATGCTAACCGAGGAACATCTAATCAGGATATTTTTTTTTCCTTGGGTTTTTGAGATGAACATTTTTACATTTCTACTCGCTGAAAGCTTGTTTCACTTATTTATTTCTTTTTCAATGTGGGAAATGATATTGCATCATCGCAACGTGACCACGACGAACACGGCATGTGCCTTGTCCGTTTAAATGCGGATCTTGTGTTCCTCCTACTTGTTCTACGTGTTCTTCCTCCATGTTCTGCGTGTGTGTATGTGCGTGTACGTATGTGTCCGTGCGGTACCACTAACAGTCGATACGCTAAACTGTTTCCTTTTCATCTCCTAAGATAACTGTGTTTTAATGTCCCATTGTTGTTGTTGGAGATGAAGTATCGTAATTTTGTGATGAGAAAAAAGGAAATCTCGAATTTCTGTTTGCACTCGCGTCTTTACGCTATGTCAGTTATCGATGCAACTAAATTTGTTGCACGGTTATGCGTGATTTAGAAGAAGCTGCTTATAGCCATTGCCAAAAATTTTCCAAAGTATTTACCTTTGCCGTACGAAGTTTCAAGAAAAGGTGGTTTGGACGAAAGGAACGTTCACGTTTCGATCGAGGAGTCGAGATAATCCAGTAGGGGTGGCTTCCTCTTTCTCTCTCTCTCTCCCTCTCTCCCTCTTTTTCCCTTCCTCTCTCTGATTCTCTTTTCCCATTTATCTCTATCTCTCTTCCTCATACATAACCGAAAGAAAGTTAGCTCTAAATCCTAGCGTTTTTTTGCCAAGCTATGTTGCAAACGCAACTGGCATTCATAAAATACAAACGGAAACTCTCTCTTTCTTTCCATCTTACTCGCTCTCCTTACTTTCGATTGCATTGCAGAGTAAACAACAGCATTGTTGTACTTCATCTTCCGGCAACTTTTTCAGTTTAAATATCACTTCGCTTATAGTTCCTTTATTAAATGAAAAATTCACTGAAATTTTAGACCAACGTCGGTCGAAAAAAGTTCGCCTTTATATGAAGGGTTGTTGTTGTTGTTGTTGTTGAATCATTCCGATTAACAAATTGTTTTGAAATTCAACATTTTCTTGTTTCCTTTTTCTTTTTGATTTTGTTAAAAAGATCATGCATTTATCCGTAACCCTAAACTTTGTGCTTTCCACGAATTCATATTCTTACAACGATCATCTTCGTTTTGATCAAAAAGATCGCTGACGATCGTTGTAAAAAGCAGAATATGAAGGGAGCAGACAGGAGTGACACGTGATTCAACGATGTTACAGGCGTAACAGCGGACGAACGTGTGTGCGGTCGGTCGAGGTAAAAGCGTGACGATATCGAAGAGCACAGTGACTCGTTGCTGCTATTAAGTATACATATATGTATATATATACATATACGTATATGCATGTGTGATAGAGGAATTGAAGGATCGTGCGAGTGACGGATGTGGCGACGTGGGAAAATACGCTGACGATTTTCGTACATTCAATCGGCTTAACCAATTTCCAACCATTCCTAAATACCCCGCGTGATTATCTCTCTCTCTCTCTCTTTTTCTATAATTATCATTGTGTACAAAGTTCGTCCTCGTTAATCAAGTCAGTTGCAATGGTGTTGCACGAGGTGGTGATCTTCTACAAGGCCAATTTGGATAGAGGAAGCTCAACACCTTTGTGTCCACCTTTATTGACGCATACTCAAAGAAGACTGAGGTGTATCATCCCACATTCGAAACAACATATCGCTTATCCACCATAAAAAGGTAAGAAAACGATCCAGACCAAAAGGTAGATATTGTCATTTTATCTAGCTCCTTTTTATATATTTTATTTTATTTTTATTTCCTTTTCTTTTTTTCGTTAGTTCGTTTTACGTCAACCCGATGTAATATAATAAAACCAATTTTTATTCAACGCAAATCACCTAGACATCAGTTATTTATCTTTCATTATACCACTAACCCGTACCTGCTATAAAATACTTTCCCAAGTATATACGGGCACCGTATTAAAGTTATCGAGTGTGTAAACCGGGCTTTTATCGTTGCGAACGCGGAAGTGCTTTTTGCTTGGTCACGATGTACCTGTTCAGATGGTGCATCTCCATAAAAAAGAAAAAAAAAAGAAAAAAAAAAAAGAGAAAGAACGAACCCATAAAAAAGAATCTTCCTACTCTTGAATCTCGAAGAATTCTTCTTTAGTTCGAAGGGTTCATCCTCGTGATATACTTTATGGATTCTTGGATCCCTTAGATCAATCATGAGTTATAACAATTGTTACGACGAGGTGTTAAAAAATTAATTGCATCATGCGATCTTAGCACATTACCTTTACCTGTTGCATCGTGTTCGTGACGACGTGTACGAAGAGAGTGAAGGAAAAGGAGGACTTGTGTGGGGGGGGGGAGGAAAGGGGGGAGGGGAAGAGGTTGAGGAAGAGAAGTGAGTTTCGTGGTTAAATGAGTCGTGACGTTTGTAAGTTTCCTTGACAATTTGCGACAGAATCGATTCGATTTGCGTCAAGCGCTAAAGCTAGACGACTTTGTAGGAGGTTGCTTGCTTTTAAAACAACGCGATCGTAAATCGCAATGGGGATTAAAAATTTATCCTATTGTTTCTGGGGTACTTTTTTTTTCTCTCTCTCTCTCTCTGTTTCAAGAAGACAAGCTCCCTTGCGGTCTAATGATGGAGATAGTTATTGTGAGATTTTGTTTCAATGGTTCGATCATTGAAAAATAACGGGATCAAAAAATGTGATAGAAAAGAAATGGATTGTAATAAATTGTGCATTTATATTATTGTTATTATTATTATTATTATTATTGCATAATACGTATTATTTGTATATATACTTTGATAATATTTTCTGATAATAATAGGATGATCATTGTTGAGTAATTTGGATAATTTCGAATTGCTAGTTGAGAGAATATTCGAAATAACTCAAATAACGATGGTGTGCATTGATGTAGTTCCTCCTGTATCACGAGGATACAATACAAATTATTAGAGCACACGCTGTTTATGAAACGACCAATAGGAAAATATGAAATTTAAATACACTTTGGGATAGCTTACAAATTGGATAGCTTACCGGAGTAATGAAAATAATCGTATTTACTTCGTTATTTCCATTATCTCTTTGTGTCGAGTTACAACAATTGTATATTTGTAAAAAGAAAAAGAAAAAAAAAAGGAAATAGAAGAAGAAAAAAAAAAGTTGTATAATATTATATCTCGTAATAAGAGAATTCGTTCGTCCGAGTATCTCCTATCATTAAAATTTTATGACTAGCGTGATAATTTGTTGAGTTGATCCTCTCGTGAGAAATAAAATGTGCCAGTAAGCGAGTTTACTTGTAACGGTGTGTGTATGATGCAAGAGACTCCAAGGAATTAAGTAGGTAGAATTTAACGAAACGTTCTCAGTAATTCACGTAACGTCGATGGTTCTAATTTGGCGAATTTTTCTATTTCTAGATTTGAATCAAATTCGTCAAGCTTAATAACAAAGAATTAAATTTGAAATTTAATCCATGATAAATTAATCAAAGAAATTGCTTGAGATATTAGAAGAAATATCAATATTTAAACAACATTACGATGTAATTATTCATAATAATTATAGGAGACAACTATTGTCTTCATAGACATGACTTGAAAAAAGGGGCTTTAGTTTTGAACCCTTTGGTGGTCTTTTATCAAAGCTACTACATTGAAATGTTTTTTTTTGTGTTTTTGTTTTTATGTGATTGACATGACGTAGGTTGATGCGAAGATTCAAACAATGTTTGCTTAAACATTGAAACTATTGGAAAAAAAGATAAATGTAAATATAATATGATTGATATTTATTAATGTATTATATTTGTATTATGCAAGAATATGAAATGATGTGGCAATATTTATTTTCCAATCGACCCGTAACCCTTAGAAGCGATCGACTGACTGTCAGTTTTATACGGAACTATACTAGAACCGTTTACATCTCAAATCCTCTTTCCTTTTCTAATATTTCTTGTACATCTTTGAACGGAAAAATGCAGTATTGATAAAATAAGATTTATCCAAGTTAAACGTTTTAAACGCATTCGTCAAGATATTTCTATAAGTAAAATAAGTACATACGAAATATATATTAGTTCTTACAAATAATTTGTTTTAAAGGTTAACGCAATTTATATATTTAAAGTAATACTTTATTTTAATCATGAATTGTGTTAGATTTGACTTTACGTACCTACCTTTCAAATTTCTTTCTTTCTCGTGCTTTCTGCAAATTTAAAATAAATGCACAAATTATGTTAGATAAACATTTCCTTACCACGAAAACCTTTTCCACTAATTACTTACACGCTCATGTTTAAGGAAAATATTTTTAGCCGAAGAAGAAGAAGAAGAAGAAGAAAAAAAAGAAAAAGAATCCAATGGGGAATAAGTAAGATGGAAGTAAAAAAGGAACGATGGTTAAAATTTAATTGAAACCTGGTTGGATTAATGGACAATTAGGGCCTCACAACAAACGAAGCCAATTCGGAGTGACATAAATCGACCGATCGGGGACACAACGAAGCGTAATGTTCTGGAAATGACTGTCTGTGAAATCCAATGGAGCTTGAATAATTACAGGCTAGTGTGCGTACAAGAGTGTTGTCCCATGGATCGAATTCGAGCCTCGAAATTCATTACTTTCCAACGAAATATTTTCAACTTCATTTTAATATAGCGTGATTTTTGTAGAAAAAAAAAAAAGAAAATGAAAATAACAGGAAACGAAAGAATTTTTGCATTTAATGTGGCTGAAATATTTGCAAGTTGAACGATGCGTTGACTTTAATTACTTTCCCGGATAAAAGTTATATCAAGTTTTGTACAGGCGTTGTTGGTTTTCTGAACATTTGACATATGAAATCTCGATAAAATCTTTTCGTAATAATAATAATAATAATAATAATAATAATAATGTTGAATAAAAATATTGAAATATTTGAATAATACTTCGAATTTATTAATCTCGAAATAATAATTTATCGATATATGTATATATAAAGTTTGTAGAAATGAAATCGACAGGTAGGGGTGTTGCCGATAAACCTATTAACACATAGAATAATTTTTTCTTTTTTATGACATTACTGGTATCAGAAAGATATTCGACCTGTGTTTTATCCTTTCCTTTTAAATGTTACTGTTGGCATGAAACAAAAGCTAGTACCGGTCTTTGTCCCGAATTGCATACCGGTTATTATTACACATCAGTTATTTTCTCACATGCATGCTCGCTACAAAACGGCTTCCATCAGGGCTTGTGCTAGCTGGCTGGCATACGGTGAATAGTAGAATTTCGCCTTTCATCTTTTCAATGCGCTCAGGCTGCTCGTGCGATGACACTTGCATTCTCTAGGAAAGTGTGACCTAGTCTTGCAGTTACTTGCTCGAGTTAAACATCGCGAAATAAGCGCTATCTCCTTTTTTTCGACCTTAAATCAACCCCTTTTCTTCTCAAGCTTTTCATTTCTCTTTCTTTTTTATATCCCTTTCTTTTAGTTTCTCCTGTCAGTTAAAATCCCTTTTGTGGTCGAGTTCGTTGATACGATTTGATAGAAAGAGAAAGAACAAAAAAATAAGAAATAGAAACATGCTTTTACATGTATGCCGTATGAACGAGTTCCTCTAATTGTTCTTAAATAGAGAATTTGCTTAAAATTAAGCACCGAGTCCTCTATGTATTCTCAAGATACGCAGTACAAAGTTCTTAACCTCGTAGACCCACATCGTTACGTGAATTACGACGAGACAGCACAACTTTTGGTAGAATCAAGAATACATAATACTTTATTTTACTTAAACGCATTAAACATCAATGTCTCTCTTGGTTCTATATTTTATCAAATTATTTTGGCTTGCAAACTTCAAAGAAATCCTTCGCTAGATTCTCTTAATTATTTCATTGAATTCTTTCAAGTGGTAACTAAATAAATCCAAACATAGAGTGATAGTAAAGTATTAATCAAAATATTTATCTCGAGCAAACAATAAACGACAAAATAAATTTCGAGATGTCTTAAAACTTTCGCGGTTGGAATAAATTTATTCTGTCTAAAATTGACCGATAAACCGATTTTGGAACATCTTGAGATTAAACGAGAAATGCCAAGGTGGAGATTGAAACTTTCATAAAAGTAATAACCCGTTACGCTCGACGCACGCTTATGGTTCGTCTTAATCTTCTTGTCTGTAGCTTGTTATTAAAGTGTCACCATGTGTTTGATACGTTGCAACCATTAGCTTCGAACACCATCTGATACTGATAAAGGTTCAACGGTAAAACAAGAAAGCAAGATACTATTGAAAATAACGAACTTTCATATACTCCAGATATAAACGTCAGATATCAAAAATTAACAAATTTTCTTTGTTGAAAAATATTCGTACATGGACTCATATAAATCGAAGTGTCCAAGTTCTTAAATATCGTTGAGATTAATTCGCTACGTGTTCGTTTTATTTTATCATTAGCATAGACCCATTTTGTAAAATTTTATTTTTAGATCAAACCGTCTACGAAATCGGCAATATTCTTGTTCTAATATCTTTGAATCTACCTATAGCTATGCCCGTATAACGGAACTCTCCCTTTTCTCTTCCAAACGATATGTATTCTGCGAATCGTTCCCTTGTCAACCCTAGCTTATTCAAGGAAATTCGCATATCGATCCTTCGAAGTTTTGTGAAGGAACAAACGGAAGGAAGAGTTTACGTTT